GATAGATTTTGAGTTTTACAAAGTTGTCCCCTTTAGTTTTTCCAGGTAAGTGTACTTCTGATGCAATACAAAAATAAATCATGTTATTCACTATTTTCTATAGTATTAACAGTGACTACGACTCTGATATGAGTATGTTGCATCAGCCACTGTATCAGTTTATATCTACTCTCATCACCAGCCTCTTCTCGTTGTATTTTCTCAACTGCTTGAACTTTTCAGCTAAGAGCATCTCATGGCTGAGATCATCATGCTTTGAACTATGTCAAGCTCACTGTTGCCATTTGATCCTAGAACTGTTAAGTTCATGCATGTCATCTATCAAAATTGACACACTGCAAAAATTAGGTGTATTTCCCCTAAAGTGACAAAAGAATCCTACAAATTTCCTACTGAAATAAAGTTTTGAGATGAGGGTGTTTTTTTTTTCATTTTATCCTGCTTATTTTTGGTTTATATTTTAAAGAAATAACTAACACTAACGCATTCAATGAAATTACTAATTGATGTCCTTTTTTGTCCCTGATTTTTTCTTTGCAATACATGTAGAATTCTGTTCTTATTCAGAACAAAGCCAAATCTTGCAATCACAAGAATCTACTTTCAAATTGGAACTGTTACATAACATTAGAAAAATGTGGTGAGATGTGAGTAAAGACACAACCCATGTATTTTGAGATTTTCAGTCATGATTTGAAGATAATAGGCATCAGAGGTGGAACCACTCAGAAAATCAATTTAGCCTGTTTCCAGCAACATGCAAATTTATGCCTTATTTCTCTTATTTCTCTTCTAATTCTGAATGGGGAACAGGAAAAAAAAAATAAGCCCAGAGTGGCTTCAAAAATATTCTTGAGATTTTAGGAAAAGTAAAGTCCTGATTGATTCTCTTATCCTCATTGGGCACAGAACTTCTAACACATGCCTTTGTGTTGGAACATCATATGTGTTACAGCAGTGTTGAGTTTCTGTTCTGAGATACCAACTTGATATTTTAGCATGTAAATCAGCAGTACTTTTTACTCCAAGTGTCAGTTTTCAATGATAGGAAAAAAAAAAATCTAATTTTCTTAAAATGCAGTGTTTTAACTGAATGCACAAAAATATTATGATCCATCATTCCACTGAATTTTTCTAAGTGCTTTCTGTGAAACATAGCATAACGACATTTGCATTTTACAAGGAAAGTGCATTAGCTACTTTTATATGGGAAAGGTTAATTCAATTCTGAACTCTAATGGAGGTTAAATGTAAAGCTTTAATGTTCTGGAGTTCATCCCAAAATAATAATTCTGCTAATGAAATAACTCATTTGTAATTCAACCAGACAAAATGGAAACATTTTTAAAGCTGTATCTGTAAGAACTGATTGCTTAACACTTAGGAACCAGCTTAAATCTCAGCAGTGTATGGACAATGCAGCACATTTTGGAGCTGTGAGGGTGTTTAGCTCTCCTCCTAAATACTGTGTATTTAAAAACATGTCCTCAAATTATTTTCATGCTGAATTGTCATTTTTTTGATGGACCACTTACAGTTCTAATATGTTTCCTAAAAGTACGTGGTATGATGACTAGCTAATGCTGAACAATCTTTCCTGAAGTAATTTTGGTTGAATGGGTTATTACCAAAAACATGCATAGCAGATTTAGCTCTTTTTTTCTGTTCACAAATTGTTTGTGAACAATTTCTGAGCACAGTAGCATGTACATTACTCATAAATGCTTATTGAATAGTCTAGATTCAAAAATAGTCAGACTATAGATTGTCTGTTATCCATTGAGCTACTGTTTTCCGCCACATAGTTTTTGATGGCATGTCTAAATTGTGGAAGGTGAGTAGTAGGCAGCAAATCCCGTTGTTCATGCATGCATGGTCTTATAGGTATTTGTGTGAAAATCCATCCTTCCTTTAAGATGCTTGTGAACAAAAAGTTTTCTACAAATCAGCAAACAGCTGCTAGTTTATGGAGAAAGTATAAACTTATGAATTTGGTAGTGTTTTTGATATAAAAGGAATACTTGAAAAACCAAGAAAAAATGTATCTGCAATATTTCTCCCCCAAACAAAATCCAAATCCCTAAATTTTGCACAAGTCTTTTTCTTCCTCAGTCTACCAATCTTTATTGCATAGGTGAATCTGAAAGTGTAATATGTGCACCATCCAGGCCACAGCACTCCCTGCCCACATTGCTGGTGGTGTTCCAGGGAAGAAGGAATCGTGCTGGGATTCTGGAGGGGAGCATATGCCTGTGCCCTGTCCTTGTGGCTGCAGTTTACCCTGAGTGAGTAACTGAGGGTCGTACACTGAGAGCTGACTTCCCAATTTCTGTTCTCTTGTTTGTGAAAAATTAGAGAAATATCAGGATTTAAACTAAATAGCCTGAAAATGTTCAACCACTCTTCTAAATTTTCTGAAGTCTGTTTTTGGGTGTTGTTTTGTTTGGGTTTTGTTTGGTTGGTTGTTTTTTTCCCCATAGCTTGTCATGAGCTCTCCTGCTCTTAATCCTTTAAGTAGTAGTGATGATAAATAGCTGTGGTACATCACTTGGTCTAGTAAAATACATTAATTCTCTCTATAAGCCTTGCCTCACTTGACTGGTACTCAGAGTCTTAGGTTTTAAGGGCAGAAGAACTTGTCAGATGAACCTACAAAGGAGATTTCATGTACCTGATATGAATTGAACTTGTGCCCACACATTTTATAGTGCCTAATTAATCACCTTTCTAACGCTCTGCCTAGCCTACAGAAGAAATGGAGGCTTTTCTCCAGAGACTGCTCTCTTCTGCCTAGCTGGAGACTTCTGAGTTAGGTGGACAACCTCTTAAGAGTTTTTCAAAGATAAATAATTTTTGTTTGTTAAATAAATGATGCGCCACCTTTCCTATATTAAGAAGACTTCTTTATCAGGCTTGATTTTATACTTAAATGGAGGTATGAGCTGTAATAATTATACTAGGTGAACCACTTTGTTCCTTGATGAAATGAGCAGCTTTCTGTACTTCTCATCATTCAAGGTTCAACAGCTTACTAGAGGTAAAGCAAGGAGGTCTGATCTTAGTAGCCACAGGGTCAGAGCAGATTTCAGGCCTCTTCCTCCTCCTGACAGCAGCAGAGCATCTCTGCTTCCCACAAGTAGCAGCTGATTAACTGGCATCCTCCATGGGCAGCAGCAGATGACAGAAGATCTCAAGAGCTAAACAGCTCGAGCTGTTAAAGTTTTTCACTTTAGCACGTTTTCTTCAGCTCTCAATGTCTATTTTTTATGTCTTATCCTTCACCTTCTTCTGTTTTCTAATGTCCTTCTCAAAATTTGACCACTAAAACTGTTGGCAGAGTAACAATACCAGTAGTACTTGTGCTGTTTACATGTTCAGTCATTGTAATAGCCCATTTTCGTACAACATTGCCCAAGGAGCATGCACTGAATTGCTTATCGGCTATCCTGGCAAAAGCCGTGTTGGAGTGACATGTTTCCCACTCTGTAGGTGGCACATGCACTCTTCCTTTTAGCCATATTATTTGGTACTCAGATACCTTGTACTTTGGCACAGTTGAACATTCTTTCTGAACACTGATAAACAATGCGATTTTTGTAGGATGGAAGTATTCAGAAATTGTATTGTTTTAGGAAAAATCTAAAACTCTACAACCCTTTCTGCCAACAAATTAACAAAAAAGAAAGGCAAGGAATAGATGGCTCTTTTGATGACCTTGTACGTATTTCATCAGGCTTAGAATAACACAAAGAAAATGTAGATGTTTTCAATTTAATATTTTTTTAGTGGTTACTGTTTAAGGTTCCTCTTATTGACCATTATCTTGCGGAGTACTGCTTCAGTCCTCATCTTTCCTAATGCAGAACAGGAACATTTTGAAGAATCTGGATTTCTAACAGTCAAGGCTACCATTTTCCCTGGGAAAGATCACCACTTCTCTGTGGTATTTCTTTTTGTTTTCAACTAGCACAGACTGCAAGGAGCTGCCAAGTCCACTTTTTCAGCAGAGGTGCTGCTGCCACAGCTTCAGGTACCCAGGGCCAGCTGGAGGGTTGTTGGATGTATGTTCCTGATGGGCATGCAGCTCTTGCTTTAGCTGGTAAAGTGTCTTAGCTCAGGCCACAGGTGTTCTGATTTTTGCCCTTCAGATTGTCTCCCCCATCTCTCTGGGGGAAAGAGACTGAGCACAGCTGTGTGCTGCTGTTAATGCTTCTGGGATTAACCCATGCCACCTGGGAAGCCAAAAGCCAGCCCCTCGGGAAGGCAGAGCCCACTGCATCAGCTCTTCTGACTTTGTGGCAGCTGAGCAGTCAGCACCCTGTACCTGCCTTCGCCAAGACAAAGCGATGCACAGACACTCGTAGGCATGTGTTTGTTCAAACTTGCCGTTTATTGACAACTATTTGCAGAGTCAAGCTCCAAGAAAGAACAGACTCTCTCCAAGAGGTGGGGGTGGTCACTGTTCCAGTGGTAGTGGGAGCCTCCTTGCAAGAGCCCCTTCAGCTGCATCAGCTTGGACTCCCCAGAGGGTGCTTTTGCTGTACAGGAAAGGTGTGGCAGCAAGAGGTGTGCCAAGAGACCAGCACCTTCTTCACATGCTGCACGCTCAGTTCTGCAGCACCAGCTCCCCAGGCAGCGTCTAGGGTGAGTAGATTCTCCACTCGGACCCAGCAAACGCATGGAAGCACACCCATGGTGTCTCTTGCTTGGTCCTTGCCGAGCTGGAGCTGCCAGCAAGAACTTCTGGGCCCATGTGAAGTGCTGTCCTGGCTGCAGCCACTGTGAGGGGCCGAGCAGGGCTGAAGGGGTCACTGCAGCGCTGGCGTCACCGTCGAGGGGAGGATGCTGCTGCTGCTGGCAGAGGGCTGATAGCAGCTCAGGGTTTTGCCTTTCCTTTTGGTGTCCCCGTTCTCCTCCCTCCCTTTCCCTCCTATATAAAGGCAGTTGTGTGCCGTTAGCTGTGACCTCTGCAAACACAGCTCTGGACACAAAGACCTCTTTTAGATGCCGTAGAAGAGCAGTCTTGTGAGCCGATCTTGTAACGGACGCAGTGGCTCGTCGTGTGTTGCTTGATCCTGTGCCAGGTGCTGGAAGAGGTTGACTGGCTCAGCTGTTTGGAGGGCTGGGGGCAAGGCGATCTCCTTGGGCACATTCTCATTGCCAACGAAGAAGTGATTGAGGCGTTTGGTCTCCAGACACTGGCGCAGGTAGTGCATGATATTGTCTAGCCGCAGCAGGAAGTCTTTGGCACACCAGCCTGACAGGGGTGTGGTGATGAGCAGGTGCATCACGATTGTCTTCAAGGCAGAGGTGGAGAAGCCTGTGCCCGCCAGGATGCGGGTGCAAAGGTGCAAGCATCTGAGGGGGAATCTGCCGTGTGGGGCCTGGCTGGTCATATGCCTGAAGAACTTTGCCTCTGCCACAGCGTAGCTCTGTGGCCATGTTGTGCTCGGGGTGAAGGCGGCGTCTGGAGTCTGGCTGCTCAGGAAGATGTCTGAGTCGCCCTGCTGCACCCCAAAAAGCAGCTCAACCATGAGGGTCCTCTCGGAGGCATTTTTCAGTTGCAGCTTGCAAGAACGGCTGGAGGGCAGCACCTTCATGTCATAGCACCGTGACTGAGGCAGCAAGAGCCAAGCGGTCTTCACTTTGCTCTGGAACCACTGAGCAGTTTTCTGCACGTCTAGGTAGGAGCTGGTGCAGAGGGTGCCTAGGAAGCTGGCAGCCTTATTGCTCCTCAGCTGCTTTTTGGGGTTGTGGAGGAAGCACAGTGTGTCCTCCCCCGGAGAACCTGTGGTGCAGGTGCACGCCAGCTCCACACGGACGCGGGAGTCCTTGGCTGGTATCTCCCCCGTAGTGCCCAACTCCAGGTGGAAGGTATGGCCCAGGGGAGGCTTCAGGGGCACAAGCAGGTGGTAGACAACGTCCTCATCATCACGGGGACTCCAGCCTTCGAAGGCGCTGCCCACCCCGATGGCTGGCTGCAGCACTGGCGAGAAACAGTCGGACAGGGCCCCGTGGAAGACGCCGAGGATGTTACTCACCAGCTCCATCACGAGCTGACATCTGAAGGCCAGCTTCTGCACTGGCCACTGGACGCGCCTGGCATAAATCCTGTCCAGATCTTGTTTGTCAGGAGGAGCTTCTGCGTTGCTTTCTTCCTGCTCTTCTTCATCCTCCTCCTCTGTGTCTCTGCTGGAGCTTTCCTTAAATCCACTGCTTCTCTTAGTCTC